CACACCCGCATGTCAGTACAATTATAAAAAAAGAAGCTTTAATCCCGGTTTGTGGACGTTAAATTAGGACTATTTGTACAATAACATAACGGCTATCCATACAGCAGTGTACAGTACATTAACATGCATCCTGTCACATTTGCTGTGTAAAAACAGTGCAAAGTTAAACACACACAGTGTGTGTGTGTGCGAGTGCATGAACTTTGTAATGACATGGTGTGTGACTCATCATTGCAAGTCCACAACAATTACATCAAATAATCATTGGGAAAGTTCTTACTGTAGTATTTCTCACAAACATTATGTGAGATCTGCTTCCTTCATGTCTGTCACTGTGCTGTTTATCTGACGCAGCCACGGCGGAAATTGTGGCACGTGGAAATGGTGGGTGGGGAGAACTAGCATTAAAGTCACAGGCAACAAAAACAGCTACATTGTGTTCAGAGCAGAACATTTGTATTCATCATTTTTATTTAGCTTTATTTCAATAACCAAACATGACTAATGATTGTTTTCAGTAAACAATATCAGCACAGATACACACAAAAATATAAAAAAACTAAGAAAAAAAAGAAAAGTTTTTCTTTTTTTAGGCATTTCCAAATGCCTGCAAAACATTACAAGCTATCCGATTCAATTGGTTTATATCAAAGGTCCAGAACATTATTATTAATATTCCATTCATGACTAATGTATCAGTTATTGTAAAGGCCCATGTTCATGGGTTGACATCTAGAACATGCTCGAAAGCACATGCCACATTTGCAGTCAGTTTCCACCGTTATCCAAGCGTGCAGCTCTATAGTGGCAGCTCTTTGCCACGAGAGGTCTCTGAAATGTTAATCTGCTTTCTTTGCCAACAGAAGTCAGTTCTCTTTAGCAGCCTCTAGTCGGGCGGCAGGATAAGCGAGCTGTCTGAGTCTCTGTCTGAGCAGCTCTTTTTCTTGCAGCTGGTGAAAGAAATAATGTGTCATTCTGTCTGATATTGTTTTAAAATATGCACTTTGAGCTGAGTTGCAGTAGCATCAAATGCATCACCTGATCTGGTCTTCATGGATTTTCACTGTAGTGTCGATGCAGTCATTCTCAGGCTTTTGAAACCTGTGAATACAGCAGTACAACATAATATTTACAGTCTAAAATGTCCAACTCTTTCAAATAAAACAATAATTCAGCCAAAATAATAATGAATTAAGGGTGCGTTCACAATTATACTTTGGCTTTCTTCATTTATTCATTGATTTTTCCTTCTGCTTAGTCTCTATTTCAGAGGTTGCCACAGCGGATTGAGCCGCCAACCTATTCAGCATATGTTTTACACAGTGGATGCCCTTCCAGCTGCAACCCAGTATTGGGAAACACCCATACACACTCATTCATACAAACCCAAACACTACAGTCAATTTTGTTTCTTCAATTCACCTATTCTGCATGTCTTTCAAAAACCAGGAGAACATGCAAATTCCACACAGAAACTGGCCCAACAGGGGCTCGAGCCAGCGACCTTGCTGTGCGGAGACAGTGCTAACCACTGCGCCACAGTGCCGCCAGGATTTTTTTATTTATATTTTTAAAAAAATTGTCAGTTGTTTGCTTTCTTTGATTGACTCAGATGTTTAGTAATAATAAGACCCTCGTTTACCCCAATACACTTGGGGGTAAACAGGGTGCAAAATTAAACAGGATCTTGGGTCAAAAATAGCATCAAGATTATTAAAAATGTAAAAAAAGAATTTACAAAAAGCAACCTTTTCTTGATTTTGTTCTCTTTTTTTAACAGTTAAATTACATTTTGGCAAACATAAAGTATAAGGTAATAAGTAACAGTAAGGTCTGACTTTGCTTAGTCAAAAGTCTTGTCACTAAACAAAAGTAATGTACAGTATAGAATATAAAGTCATGGTGCAGTAGAAAAATAATTAACATTGTGTTTGACTCCCATGAGCTTGGAGAACTGCAAGACTCAAATAACTTATTGATGAAGTCATCTGGAATGGCAAAGAAAGCGTTCTTGGAGGGCTCCCAGAGTTCATCAAGATTCTTTGGATTCATCATCAATGATTCCTCCATCTTACTCCAGACATGCTCAATAATGTTCATGTTTGGTGACTGGGCTGGCCAATCCTGGAGCACCTTGACATTCTTTGCTCTCAGGAACTTTGATGTGGAGGCTGAAGTATGAGAAGGAGCTCTATCCTGCTAAAGAGTTTGCCCTCTCCTGTGGTTTGTAATGTAATGGGCAGCAATACCTCAGACTGTTGATGTTGCCAACTACTCTGCAGATTTCTGTCATGCCCCCATACTGAATGTAATGCCAAACCATGATTTTTTCTTCACCAAACTTGACTGATTTCTGTGAGAATTTTGGGTCAAATATATATATATATATATATATATATATATATATAGTTTGTGCATCATGTGCTTTGTAAATGCATGTATGCAACATTTGGGTAGCATTAAATTATACAATTAGTTGATAACTATTTATTAATGACAATTTATTGTGCAGTGGTTGACTGAAGTAATCATAGAAAAAGGACACTACAGATATATTTAATATAAAATGCGTTTGTGAAAGTAAAAAAGAAAAGCCCCTGGAAATCAATACCGAATATTTCCACTTAATAAAACATAAATTTGAAATTGTGTTGCATTAGACCACTCTACAACAATTTTAACAGCTTTTTTATTGCTGCTTACTACCATTATATGGACAAGCATGAGCAGGACGTATTTAAAAATGTCTCCTTTTTGTGATACAATAAAACAGAAAGTGTACGGCATTGAAACTGCACCAGCTTGAGTAAATAATGACTGAATATTCATTTCTGGGTGAACTAATCCATTAAGCAAATGGAATGCAGAAGTAAAATATTCAAATCTGAAACATGAATATTTAAAACAGCAAAACAACCTGGGTTCCAGACGCTCTTTCACTTTTGCTATGGATAAGATGTAGGGTCCAATTTGCCGTGCGATCGTCGTCAAGTAGGAATTTTCTTGCTTCAGCTGCAGAAGGTCATGAAGCTGTGCTGTAATTAGCAAATGAATTAGTTGGCTAATTAGTGGGAAATAAACAGCTTAGCATGCAGGGTAAAATGAACCCTGAGGCAGCGCAGACATTGTGTTCGTTTTTCTCACCTTCATAAATCTCTTGCTCATTGGTTACTCTTTGAAAGGTCACGTCCCATTTCTAAAAACACATTCAGAATACTCTAAGGCGTGCTTGCGTTTTGAAAGAATAATATGTGTTTGCAGGAATTATAATTTAGCCTCACCTCCTCAAATACGGTCCGCTGAGTCTGTACGGCAGAGTACTGAGACGCGATCTGTTCGTCAATGAGAAGACATCTTTCCAGGATTTCATTCATGGTGTCCGTGTTGATGAGAGAGTGATGTTTCGTCAGGTCTCTGTGCATCTCCTGAACCTCATCTTTCAGCCTTTGGATTTCTGTCTGAAGAGACTGGGATATAAAATATGCATGATCAAGAAAACAATTGATATATGCACTGTTTATTGTATTACGAGACTCCAAATATATAGAAAACATGGTTTAGAGTACATAAAGGGATTGAAGAAGTATTGGATTCTCTATTTTATTCACTCTATGATCATATTTTAAACAAACAAGAGTTGAAACCTGCATTTTTTGCATGTACATTAATTAACCTTACTGTTAGACTCTGCCGCAATTTTACAGTTATTTACGGCAAAATCATTCAGTAAAATACTACATACACTCTTTACAGTTCACTACATTAATACACTGCATTGTGGGTCATTTTAAAGCCTTTACAGTACTTTACTGCATATTAGGTATTTGCGGTATTTTACTGTAATCAAAGTATTCAAGTACTGCTACTGTAGATGGAGACAAAAATGAGAGAGTAAATAAAAATTAAACATTAAATACAAAAAATAAAAGGTGTTGTACTGCTTGTGTAAAATGTAAATAAATTACAATAAAGGTACTGTAAAAATTGTCATACTGTAAAATTATGTTAAAGGCCATTTTACCATGAAAAGAGCTTGCGGTAGGGCGATTTTACTGTAAAATTACATTTCGGTTGGGCCCTGCTACTGTAAAACGAATTTACATGTAAATTACTGTAAAGAGGCAGTTGCGGTAACTTGCTGGCTACAGTGCTGCTAGTAAGTTACCTCAGAAATATAATAAAATGTCTAACAATGCTGTGAAATGGCTCAATGAGCATGTTTATGTGTCCATATTGATGTGTACTGTATGTGCATGCCATGCTATTTTATATCAGCAGAGAACTTTTGAAGAATTTATAAAATTTGTAAAGAAGTCCAAATGTGCCAGGAATTCCTCTGTTACACAAAGATGAACATCTGCTTCTCGTAAGCATATCTGTATTAAACTTAACAAGCAACATTGGTACCATAAAATAATAAAAATAAAACAGGCATGCTTGAGACTTCTGTTATTTCTATGGTATTTTTGGTTTATTTGCATTCATAATTTCAGTCAAACTATAGCAGAATTTGTTTGAAGTCAGACTAAGACTCATCTTTAGTTTGCATTAAAATTCAAATAGCAACGGTCACACTAATACAGAGCAATAACACATTTTTATCTGACCAAACCTGTCAGACTTGAAAAACATTCTAATTCTCACTCTGTAGCTCTTCTCGAAGTTGCGGCAGTGCTCGGTGAAGGGTGACTCTCTGCCTTCCGCCAGCAACACCTTGGTGCAAATGTGTCTGTGAAAGGTGGGCCTTCGGCCAAAAGGCATTTCACTGAGAGACAGAGACAGACACAGCATAAAGAGAGCAGACAGCCTGTGAAACAATGAGAATGAGAGAGAGACATATATGAAAACACTGTTTAAATTAATTTTCCAAAAGGAGGGGGGATTATTTTACTTGTCCTCGGATTGTACTTATTTATCCCTTGTTAGATTTCCCATTTTTTAGGAGTGAGAATTTCTTGACTGGCAAGACAAGTTTTGAACTTGACACAAAGTGGTTTACAGATATAAGTAAAAGCACTTTTAACAAAAAAATAAATAAAAAAATGTAAAATTATATAAATAAAAAATATAAATACAACAAAGACAAAATCACATTTACTCTTTTAATACCACTGTCAATCAACTGTCTATGTATAGTTGAAGTCAAAATTATGAGCCCGATACTATTATCATTATTTTTTTTTTATATTTCCAAAATTATGCTTAACAGAGCAAAGAAATTTTCACAGTATGTCTGATAATATTTTTTTTCTTCTGGAGAAAGTCTTATTTGTTTTATTTCAGCTAGAATAAAGGCAGTTTTTAAGTAAATAATAAAAAAAAAATTTAAGGTCAAAATTATTAGCCCCTTAAAGCTATATTTTTTTCGATACGGAACAAACCACTGTTATACAATAACTTGCCTAATTACCCTATCCTGCCTAGTTAACCTAATTAACCTAGTTAAGCCTTTACATGAAGCTGTATTAAGCTGTATAGAATTGTTTTGAAAAATATCTAGTCACATAATATTTACTATCATCATGGCAAAGATAAAATGAATTAGTTATTAGAAATGAGTTAATAAAACTATTGTGTTTGGAAATGTGTTGAAAAAACCTTCTCTCTGTTAAACAGAAATTGAGGAAAAAATAAACCGGGGGCTAATAATTCAGGGGAGCTAATATTTCTGACTTCAACTGTATATGTTTTTATGTGCATGTTTTTTTTTTATTATTACTGTATCAGGCTATGCTGAAATGCTCACTTCACAAAAAAGTCTCCCTAGGGGACAATAAAGTATACAAACAAACAAACAAACAAACATTTAACATTTTTTTATTCAAAAAGTGTATTTAAGGTATAATTTATATATTAATAAAGGATGTTATAAATTATTGTCATGGAATAATGTTTTGTTGTTCAAATTTAGATACATTTTAGCTAAATCTATCTTGTGCTTGTCATTTTTCTAGGTTCTGTTATTCATCTTTTCTGTTCAAGCTTTCATTTTTATTTATCATCGTTTTACTAATTTTAGAACTTAAACCTTTTTTTTCAAGTTTTATGTTGACCAAGTATTCATTTCAGCTTTGTTTCAATTAATGAATTGCTAAAATGTAGTAAAATAAGTACAACTAATCAATTTGATTGTGTTATTACGCTCAAAAATGACTTTTGCTGCTTGTTTAAACTACTTATCTAAAATGAGCTGAAACAACATTATTCTAAAGTTGTTTTTAGGACAGCCTAATTGTTTTATGTTGAATATGTTGAAATGTTTAACACATGATTAAGTTAACATAATCGATTTGTGCATGGGCAACACGAAGGAATTGTGTGAAATCCAGCATTTTTTGTGTGGAACCTGGCATCAAACAAACTAAAACATGTTTTGTTTAGACAAGGTAACATTTTTTTTACAACTTTAAGCAAAGGCAACATATTTATTTACTTTAAAAACAATTACATAAATATTTTATTTTTAGGTATTTAAAAACAAATCAACAACACACTCAAAACACTCATCAATAAAATGCAGAGCTTCAACATGTTATGCTTTGATTATTAGATTACTAACAGTTAACACTCATCAAAACATTAATCTGTTGAACAAACGAAGCTCATATTTTTGATGCTTATCACATTTTTTAGACCCTCATGACGAAAACAACAATCAGTGCACAAAAAAATCCCATCATCCCAACTGGAATTAAAAGCTCAAGAATGACAAAAGCTCATCAAGCGAAACATCAAGTATAAGGAGAGTTACCTTAGTTCTAAAGCTCCGTTAATCTCTCCACCCTACAGTTTCTGTGGCAGTATAAGTCCCTCGAGTGAGTCTGGACACTGTTTGCTCTCCAAACCTAAGTGAACAGCGTCCCACCCCGAACCTTTACCAAAATGAGACAGTGGCACGTGCTGTGACATCAGAAACACAGGAACAAAGTACTCTATGCTACAATCAGAATCACAAGTTCTCTGAAATTCTGTTAAAAATAGTGAGAGAAGCCCGACCCTGTGGTATCCCGTCTGTTGGCATGGGGGTAAACGGGGGGGAGGAGGTTGGTTTGGTGGAGGGCTTGACAAACCTGTGAACGGTGCAGTTGATTGATGTGGAAAGTTGTCAGAGGGACTTGCGTCATTGGACTCTCTGTGGAGAGATGGAGGTTGCTGTGCTGGAATGGCAGTATTTGTTCTGATCTCTTATCACCTTCAGATGCATTAAGGAGGATGCATATTGTTATATGACAAGGCTTTGATGAAAACAGATGGTATGGCATGGCATGACAATGAGAATTCAGTATTGGAAACTTTTAATCATGATAGCCTTACAGGATTAGGAGTAATATTGTATGGTGGCTCCAGCAAAGTGTTTGGACTTAGCTACATATGACAATATATGAGTGATGCTGGGTTGTGTAATAAATATATTATATAAATAAATATCAAGCGGATACATTAAATTCATTGAAATTAAAAGTAAAAAAAAGATCTTTTGTTCAAACGATTTCTCTAAAATATGTTTTACTTTTTACTCAGTTTACTGTACAGTTGATTAAATAAATGAAGCATTTGTTGATAAATTGACTTGGCTTGATATGGCAACTTAAGAGTTGTGACCCATCCAACCCAGTTCAGTAATCTCCAGTGGGTAATTTGGGTAAGTTTTGTTATATATATATATATATATATATATATATATATATATATATATATATATATATATATATATATATATATATATATATATATATATATATATATATATGAGCAATAACACACTTATAGCAGTGATGATATACAGTCACATCGTACTGCTACGTGTCATATTTTGTTTATACAACAGTTCGGCGGCATAATCTTGTGTATAAAAAAGAAAATTAAACACAGAGAGTCTGAAAACCCTCTCTTTTAGATAGAACTACTCTCTTTCACTAGTCATTCACATTTGCAGCTGACGTCAGAACAGCAGAATTCGTTACTAATTAACCAACATCATTTTAAAGCTAGTATTTGAATGATTCTCTAGAGTAATGTCTAAAGTGTTGACAAAACAGGTGATTTTGCTGACATTTTAAGATTATAAGGCTAAAAGGCATGAAATGTCATATACAGAGATTTCTCTTATTATTGCTCTGTTGCAATCGAAACATCACAATATTGTATAAATACAGCACTAACTTTACAACACACAAAAGAGAGAGATCGACTTAGAAAGTTATTTACCTGTTTAATGATGATTTGATCAGCTGTAGTTTAAAATTATGTTGTTTTCTCTAAGGGTTTATTATGTGGTCTCTGTTGCCATCTTGTAGATGGACATCATCAACTGTCTTTGCTCAAAGACACGCTGTCTCTTCGAAATTATAAGTATTTTAAATAGGCACTATCCTTATAAATAAACTGCATAGTTGCAATCTAAACAACTACATTCTCAACTAAAAACGCCTGAAAAGTACATAATGTTGCCCAACAGCAGCAATATTTGTCAAACTGTAGAGTGTCCTCTGCTTGTTGCTGTATGTGGGCAAAGTAATACACAAGGGTGAAGGGTGAAGAGGATGGACGAGTGTATTTTGAATAGAACATGGCACGGCAATCAGGCTATTAGCCAATCAGATTCAAGAACCAGACAGAATTGTTGTAAAAATGTATATATATATATATATATATATATATATATATATCTTTTTTTAAATATTCCCAAATTATGTTTAACAGAGCAAGGAAATTTTCATTTTTTAAGGACACAATTATTGAGCTTTAAGCTATATATTTTTCTATAGTATACAGAACAAACCACTGTTATACAATAACTTGCCTAATTACCCTAACCTGCCTAGTTAACCTAATTAACCTAGTTAAGCCTTTAAATGTAACTTTAAGCTGTATAGAAGTGTCTTGATAAATATCTAGTAAAATATTATTTACTGTCATAATGGCAAAGATAAAATAAATAAGTGATTAGGAATGAAAAAAAAAAAAAAAAAAAAAAATATATATATATATATATATATATATATATATATATATATATATATATATATATATATATATATATATATATATATATATATATATATATATATATATATATACTGCTTAATTACCCTAACTAACTTAATTAACCTTATTAGCCTAGTTAAGATGAGAGGAGAAGCGCAAAAATATACCTTTAAAGAATAAGAGGAGAGCAAAAACAAAACCCCGCCCCCTACTTGATATTTCAATTCAGTTGCAAATGCATTATCACTGCATGGCATAATCAGCAGCAACTTCACACAGAGTTTAAAGCATTTCATTGTTTAAAAAAAATGACAATTGGTCAGAATAACAAAAGCATTCAATTGTTGTGATGACAATTAGGTTAATTTGCCAAAAACTGATTTCTGAACTATTATAAGGTTAAAACACTTCTATTTCATTGACTATTAATTAATATAAACACGTCATAAATTTATTTTATTTTAACTAAATTAACATTTTCAAACTTTCACACTGCCCAAACTGTGTGAATTCTGTCTAGTGACACAGAGCTGACAGCTGACAACAGGAAGGAGACACTGGCATTACTCAGCCAGTTATTAAGCTCCTAAACAGAAGAAAACATTTATGTAACTCTCCCTAACAATGACCAGGTGGCAACTGTCCCATTATAGCCAGAGTTACTGTGTCTGTGAGGTGACAACATGAGGCACAGGAACACAGGAGCCAGACTTCCAGGAAAGCTCTCATTCTGGGAGAAGAGCTCAAAGAGTTATGCCACGGACTGGAGAGCCTTATTCATATAATACAGCTCAGTATATGCAGACTGCTTCCAGTTCAGTTTGACCCTTTAGACTGTATTGTGTGTGGGAGATTAGTGCAGCAGAAGTGAACGTGCTGGTATCAGAGTGAATCTGTATGAGCTGCGAAAGAAAGCAATGTGATCCTATAAATGCCTTTTTCTGCAAATCCACTTCAGATCTCGTTGAATACTGGGTCATGTCAAACTCTTGTTGCTATATGGAGTTTTACAAGCACTTTTCCAAGAAACTGAAGAAGGGGACTTATGCTGTGGGAATGTCTGCTTAGTGTCTGAATATATTTCTGCTTAGTGTTGCAGCTATTTTCAGGACTGATGAATGTGAGCCGCGTGCAGTTCTATCTTTTGAAGCTTCTGGAAAAAATAAATTTTTGGAAATTGTATGTGCATGTGTTTTGTGAGGGAGAAGTCTGTGCATTTTGTAGGACAGAGTAAACTCAATTGAGTTGTTTTTTTTAAGTTTGGCAGTCAATATGAAAAAAAGCAAATGGCCCTAAACACATACAGAAATATGATATATGAAAATTTATGCAAATTCGTATGACATACACGCTCATATTTGGATGTTTGGTTCATATTAAAATGGTTCATAAAAATTTTAAACTGCTTTTATTCTAGAAGAAATAAAACAAATAAGACTTTCTCCAGAAGAAAAAATATTATCAGACAAACTGTGAAAATTTCCTTGCTCTGTTAAACATCATTTGGGAAATATTTTTTTAAAAAAAGAAAAAAAAGAAAAAAGAAAAAAAAACAATCAAAGGGGGCTAATAATTTACATTAAATTTACATATAAACACACACACACACACACATCCACACACACACACACACACACACACACACACACACACACACACACACACACACACACACACACACACATATATATAAGGGACTAAGCCAAAAAGAAAATGAATGAATGAAGGAATTTTCACGATATATAAGTGAAATCCAAATATGAACTTTTATGTCATAAGTAATTTGCAATTGGCATAAATTTTGTTTACTTCTTTTTTTTATTTTTACATATTTACACAACAACTCAATTTAGTTCACCCACACAAGACACATGGCACAATTTTCAAAAATCAATCCAACTTCCAATAATACTAATACTACCAATAATAATAATAATCATTTTAACATTTCATCCTTTGTTTGCTCTTGTGTGTTATAAAAACACATACATGCTGAGTCCAAGATTGCTGGGTGACATAAATAGCTTAATTCCTGGAAGACATCAAGTCAGCTCCGGGTTGTGATGTGTGTGTGTGTGTGTGTGTGTGTGTGTGTGAGAGAGAGAGAGAGAGAGAGAGAGAGAGAGAGAGAGAGAGAGAGAGAGAGAGAGAGAGAGAGAGAGAGAGAGAGAGAGAGAGAGAGAGATCAACAAACATCAGGACTGAAATGCAACCCAAGCAAATTATATTATTATTTCAACACGGACCAACATACCACAATCCATACAGAACAACTGTCACAGACCATTTAAACTTATACAGGATTTGTTCAATCAATATTTACCTTTTTGCAGTTTTTTTTTTTCTCTCTGTGAATGTTTCCTTTTTTATCGGAAGAGAAGAACTTGCATTAATATTTGGTCTAAATATGGTTGTATGCTTTGAGCATGTTTAGCTTCGCAATATTATCCCTAAAGAATTAGTTAAATTCCAAAATGAACATTTCCAAATAGATTTCTCACCCCCTTGTCATCGAGTATTTCTTCAGGGGAAAAGAAATGATGGTGTTTGCAAGATTTTTCTCCATATAACAGATCTTTTATGTTGCTCAGCGCTTCAATCTTCCAATTACTTTCCGACTAGTTTCAGTATAGCTTCAAACGTTTCTAAATAATGTCATCTGAGGGAAAATTATCTTACTGACAGAAACAATTGGTAATGTTCCTTAAAATTACTCATTTTAAGCTCTTTGAAGCTCAATTGAAACTGTGATTTTAAGTTCAAACCACTGAGCACTATAGAAGTCCATTATATGGAAAAAAAATCCAAAAAATGTATTCCTCAAGAACCTGAACTTTTTTTTGACCAAAGAAATAAGGCAACGACCATCATTGATGACAAGGGGATGAAATCTATAAGTATAAATGATCTAAAAGTATACTCTGGAAGTGTTCATTATCTGTAAAGCTCCCATGGTTGCCCATTATTTTGGACTGTGGTGTCGTTGCGCCCCCTTCTGGTGTGTTTTCTGACCTGCATATTGTTGAATAGGGTACAGATGGCACATGTTCTGCGTTTGTCTGCATTTCTCTGAGCCTGGCCTTCAGCAAAGCGATGGCCTCGCGCACTGACGTCTGCAGATCCTTCACTGCCTACAAGGTGAAGCAGGTTAATACAAGATGCATTCATATAGATGCTTCTGCTTCACAATGGAGTTTAACTATTTCCTCTGTTTTCTCCAGATGTTGTTCTAGAGCTTTATATAGTCATTCAACACTGTGTTTGTCTCATTAATGGTCATTAAGGCTTCGTTTATTTGATAAAAAATGTAATCAAATATGTAATAATTAGCAAAAAAGATTACAATATATACACTCACCGGCCACTTTTTTAGGTACACCTTGATAGTTGCAGGTTGGACCCCCTTTTGCCTTCGGAACTGCCTTAATCCTTCATGGCATAGATTCAACAAGGTACTGGAAATATTCTACAGAGATTTTTGTCCATATTGAGATAGCATCACGAAGTTGCTG